ATATGCATGTTAGGATCATACAGGGATGAACATGCATATTAAGAGGATCACACAGAGATGAACATGCATGTTAAAGTTATCATACAGGGATGAACATGCATATTAAGAGGATCATACAGGGACGAACACATGTTAAAAGGATCATAAAGGGATGAATATGCATGTTAGGATCATACAAGGATGAACATGCATGTTAGGACCATACAGGGATAAACATGCACGTTAAAAGGCAGCAATTCACGGACTTTCTATAGGAACACCAAGTAGAAAATAGTAACAGTGTACTGCGTAGCTCCCGCACTGGCAACGTAGCCCCAGGCAGGAACTTAAACAGACCCTTCCAAAGCTGAAGACACACGTCTCCACTTACAATGTGGGGAGCGAAGGTGGAGGCTGCCCACATGTGTGTACTGACTTAAATGTGTGTTTTGAACTACAAAGACCCCTTGGCTTGCCTCGCCACGGAAACATTTTAAAACGTGTCTTAGTAAGCCCCCAAATCTTTAAAATAGGTTTTAGTTAAAAAATGAAGCAGGCCGGGCGGTGGTGGCGCACGCCTTTAATCCCAGCACTCGGGAGGCAGAGCCAGGCGGATCTCTGTGAGTTCGAGGCCAGCCTGGGCTACCAAGTGAGTTCCAGGAAAAGGCGCAAAGCTACACAGAGAAACCCTGTCTCAAAAAAACCAAAAAAAAAAAAAAAAAAATGAAGCAGTTACAAAATTGGCTTCATTAGCTCCAATTACATATAATTGGTGTAGATTAGAAAGAATGGAATCAGAACATGTAATTTCATAATTATAACACATAATAATGCAAAGATCCAGTTGGAAAATGGCACTGGAGAAAGTAAGCTACATGTAAATCTCAGACAATTTGATGTCTTCCATGAACCCAAACATCCCTTGCTGGTTACTGTTCACAAACACAGTTTAACTAACAAGACCGATTTCAAGTTGCAGACTCAGAAATCAACACTGGAAAGTGGAATTGGTCCTTTGTGCTCCTTGTGTGGCTACAGCAGTGAGTGATTAGCTTTATGTCTCATGAGAAAGATGATGCTACTTGAGATGGAGCATCTTCATGTTCAACTTGACTGGACTTAGAATCGCCTAGAAGACACTCTGGGAGTGCCTATGAGGGCATTTCCAGAGAGATTTATCTGAGGAAGGAAGACCCACCCTGAGTTTGAGAGTCGCCCCCTCACAGGCTGGAGGTCCCAGACTGAATAAAAAGAGAGAGGTGGCCAGCAGCCAGGTGCTTGCATTCACCTTCCCCTGCCTCCCCCCTCCACCACAAGGGGAGTAAGTGGCCTCACATCTCTGCCACATGCCACCCGTGATAACTATACCCGTGAACAATGAGCCAGAAGGATCCTTCCCTCTCTTGAGCTGCTCTCTAGGTACTTATCACAGCAGTGAGGAACTAATCAAGTCTCTTTCTGGGGTCCCAGCAGATAGCATCACAGCAGGATCCGTTCTTGAGGCCGAGTCAAACCAGAAGTCCCACCCATTCTCTCCCAGGCTCCTCTGTCAAGAGAGTAAGGCATCCTCCTGAGGTGTGTGTGGGATGGGGTTGCTGGGCTGCAGCATGCCAGGCACAGGCCACATTAAATGAAAACAGTGGTCTGACAGTGTGGGTGACATCATCCTGTGCTGCATCTCCACCTTCTGGTTTTAAAGAAAGGAAAGAGTGCTTTCCTGATGAGAAATTCAAATTTCAACCTCTTAGAGTGGCTACTTTGGTGCATGATTCTATAAATTACGTCCAGCTACCAGAGGGCTAAAAGAAAATTATTCATTCATTCATTCATTCATTCATTCACTTTTTGTTTTAATTTTTTAATTATTTATTCAGTAACTGTGTTAAGTTTCCTGAAGGAAGTGATGACACCTTATTTAGCTGTATACATCAAACTGTTAGCATAGTTGCCAGAATACTGGGGATAACCCATGTCTACCAAATTGCTTCTAATACCGGTTTCAGAGATCAACTGCCCAGGTCATGTGCAGAGCAAAGAGCCACCACATATCCTGCTACAGCCTCCAATGAACTTACTGTGTGTGTGTGTGTGTGTGTGTGTGTGTGTGTGTGTGTGTGTGTGTGTGTGTGTGTGTTAAAATAGACTATTATGCTACCAGAAATATGAATTAAAGTGTCTTGACCAACACTGCAGAGATCAGGAAGTAGCTGTTACTTAAGAGTTGAACAAATAGAGGAACTTAGAAGTGTGATATGCTATCAGGGTGGCCCCTAAAAGCCATGGTCACAGGACAGGTAGTAAGGGGTCCTAAGGACAGCTGGTGCCATAAGGGCACCAAGAGACAGCCACCCCTGAATACACAGGGACCTCCTCTTATGTGCAGCTCTGGTTTGGTCTGGGCCCTTTGTCAAATTAAGTGCAAATATCACCAAAGCCTCCTAATACATCTCTGCAGATGATGCTGGGTGCCTGGAAATGTCCCCTAGTTGTTGGGGGGGGGGGCAGCTAAAAGCCTTGCACACTTTCTCAAATGATCTCTGTTCTGTTTGCTGCTCCTCAGATGTCATTCTTGGGGTAACAGAAAAAGCAAACAGGCATTGTGGTACTCAAAGGCTGTTACCAGGAAAGGCCAGGAGTTCCTCCACGTTCACCCAGCTTGCCAAATTCTGCTTTGCTCCCCCGACTTTCCTGGATGCTCCATCCTTTCCCTTCTCATTCTCTGTTCCCAGTGAATGCTCGTGTGAAATGCCAATCCTCTGCTCACAGACAAAGGTCTGCTTGCCAGGAGAAAACATGCACATGTAATCTTGAGCTCCCAACACCTTCCCTAACTATTTCCCAGAAGTACCTGCTTTGGGCCGACTCAAATGCCCATGCACTGTTTATTAAGAAGTATGTTTCTAGAGTTAGGAAGGGACGAGGCAGATGAGTTTTCATTAACATTTTGGATAGATTTCTGTCACTGGTTGGGCACAGAAACACAAACATGCTTTCTGATTCTAACCCCCAGAAGTGCTATGATATGAGCCAATTGTGGTTTGAATGTGAAATTGTATGTGCTAAAATCTCTCTGTGGGATGGTCAGATCACAGGGCTATAACCCCACAAAGCCTGAACTAACCAAGTTTGAGTTGGGTGTGTAACATACAGGCTTTCAGTTTTCCAAAATCAGCATCTTCCACATGAACTATGGGACCACTCTAATTCAAACCACCACATCTAGATTTGATGAGAGACAGTCTTAGAACAAATATAAGGTAGAAAGTGACACAGATAGATATACCTGATGTCAGCATCTGGCTTCCACATACGCAGGTGCATGCATGGACACCTATGACCCCCCACCGCAGGCATGCATGCACACATGCATGCATGCACACACACATACCGTTCTTCCTTCAAGGCCTGTCAGATGTTTGTCACACCGATGGTGAGAGCTAACCAACACCTCTGAGGGTCTAAGTGACTCATTTCCAGCCTGTGTTTGGCTGTCCCTCACAGGAACTCACCTGATCCAGCAGACAAACCCCAATGCACAAGTCCTGCCTTGTGTATTATTCCCCAGGACACACAGGCACCCCAACACCCCCTTCCACATCGGACGCCGCTCTGACTTTCAGCCTCTATAGATTCGTATTGTATGACTGGGCAAACCTGGCACACTCACTCTCAGTTGCCTGTGCTCCCACAACTGAGCTCCACAGAAGAGGGGCACGCCGTTCTTTGCACTGTATTCTCAGGAATATTTCATACAGAAGACTTAACAGGTGCAAATAAACACAAAGTTACTAAACTGACTCAAACTCTGATGGAGCACAGCTGTGAGGTCACATATGTGAGTTCTGCATCTTAGATGTTCTTCGCACAATGAGCAGATAGGAAATGTTTCCCACAAACACCATCCAGAACGTGTGACTACAGCTATGAGAGTCCCTCAGGAGACTCATTATCTTTCCCCCATATTTAGAAAAGGGAGAAGAGAGAAAGCTAAATGTGGGGAAATGGACAAAATAGTAGATTCTGTCCACGTCAAAGGAAGGATGCAGAGAAAGCAGTCATAACCAGAAGCCAGGAGTGAAAATGCCTGGAAGATGCCAAGGTATAAAAGCTCTGTGCACAGCCTTCTGGAGATGCTCAGCTAATGACAGGCAGGCAAGTCAACACTGTGTTGACCTAGTTTTAATAAGCCAATGCCCAGATAGATGGACAGACAGACAGATGGAAGTATCAATACGTGGAATGATAGGTACATAGGTAGGCAGACAGACAGACATATAGATAGAGGATTGGTGGAAAGATAGATACGTAGATGGTTGAATGGATGGATATAAATAGGTGATGGATAGATTTTAGATGCGTGGGTGGACGAAGGTTGGGTGGATGGATGCATGGGCAGGCTGTGGCAGTATTGTGTCTTTATTTATCTAAGTAGGTGACCTACTCCTTCAGGGTCAGGTCTAGAGCCCCTCTCCTTACCTCACTCTCTTTACCTCACTCTCCCACAGGTGCTGACCAAACACCTCTTAGGACTGAGCAGAAGGGTCAGCTGTGTTCCCCCACAGGCTCCCCTAGAGCACCTGTGTTCCCAAACACAAGACTTTGTAAATTATTGATTTTGGAAATTCAAGAATCTTTTGAAGCCTGACTCTTCTGTCTACGTGTGACAATATGACACTTCCAGATGTGGGAACTGAGAGGTCCAGTGAGGACTGGAGGTCTGGGGTCAGGGTTTAGGGGTCAGAGGTTAGTTGCATCGATGGGAAGCTCTACACTGCACAGATAATCCCCGAGAGGATGCTACCTGTACACTGGAGACATAGATTTGACTAGATAGCAACCATGATGTCAGCAAGTGGAAATTCTCCAGTGATTGACAAGCCTATTTAAAGGCTCACAAAAAGCTAGAGCTAGACCATCTCTCACCTAAGAGGAGGGCAGGGGAGAGATGGACATTGAAGGCCTCTGGGCTGTGATATGATCACAGCTGGAGAATCAGGACTAGCTGAGGCAGCCTTACTCACCGTGATCATCTGAGCCACGTAGCTCTCAGGCCCTGTGTATTCCGTCGGGTCCTTCACCTTCACCAGGACGATGAAGTACAAGTAATGCCACATGTTGTGCTCTGACTTAATGTGCTCCTCGAAGGAGACCGTCTTGTTGTCAAACTTGTCCCTCTCCAGGCCTGCAAAACACAGGACACACTCTGTATGCAATTTCCCTTCAGTCAGGACTCCTTAGCATGAAAATAAAACATGACCATTATTGAAAATCAACAACAAGCTGCTTTCTGGAAGAGTGTGCCACTTTAAAATACTGTCATAATTAAAAACAATGCATGAAAGCTTAGATAAAGAGGCTGTGGTTGATAGACCCATTCCCAACTAATGTTTATTCTTCTCCCATGATCCTTAGGAATATGCAGTTCTATTACAAAGGGAAGAGCTACAGGTAATCTTATATTTAGTCATATCAAAACTGTCAAATTCAACCAGACCAGAAGTATAAGGGAAAGAGACAACGATAATTGTTCAAGAAAAAGAAATGCAGCTCAATAGGAAAAGCATTTGCCACAGAAGCCAGGTGATCTGCATTTGATTACTGGAGCCCACATAAGGTCTAATTCAATAGAACCCACCTGTAATCCTAACACGCCTACTGCCTGATGGGAAGCAGAGACAGGAGAATTGCCTGGAAGCTTGCAGGCACCAGAAACACTAGACAGACCCCACCTCAAAACAAGGTGGAAGGTAGACATGACTCCAAAGTTGTTCTCTGATCTCCACATGTATGTACTGTGGCCCTCACACAGGCTGGTGCACATACACACAAGCACACAGGCACACATACACACATACACACATACACACAAGCACACAGGCACACATGAACACAGGCACACATACACACATATACACAGGCACACATGAACACAGGCACACATACACACATATATACAGGCACACATGAACACAGGCACACATACACACATATACACAGGCCCACACACATACACACAGGCACATATACACAGGCACACATACACACATATACATAGGCACATACACACATATACACAGGCACACATATACACATATACACAGGCACACATGAACATAGGCACACACATACACACATCATACACACATGAACACAGGCACACATACACACATGAACACAGGCACACAGGCACACATACACACAGGCACACAGGCACACATACACACAGGCACACATGAACACAGGCACATATACACACATCATACACACATGCACACAGGCACACAGGCACACATACACACATGAACACAGGCACACATACACACATGAACACAGGCACACATACACACATGAACACAGGCACACATGCACACATGAACACAGGCACACATACACATATGCACACATGAACACAGGCACATATACACACATCATACACACATGCACACATGAAGATTTCTGAAAGAAATTAACCAAGAAAAGGAACACTGGCTAATCATGGCAGGAAAAAGAAATGATTCCTTCCTATCAAAGCCTTGAAAGCAGCCAAGTCTTGCCTTCAGAGTCACTTCAACCAGCAAAGCCTTTGAGCAGAGACAGCCCCTGGGCACTGTGCGGCGGCAAGGACTCTCCTCAAGGCCCCTAGTCCACAATACTCAGGGAAGCTGGGGCTGGGTCGGCCACTTCAATTCTCAGGTGTCCTAGTTAGGGTCACTACTACTGTGATGAAACTCCATGACCAAAAGCAAGCTGGGGAGGAAGGGTTCATTCGGCTTACACATCCACATCATAGCCATCAATGAAAGAGTCAGGACAGGGACTCAAGCAGGGCAGGAACCTGGAGGCAGGAGCTGAAGCAGAGGCCATGGAGGGGAGCTGCTTACTGGCTTGCTCCCCGTGGCTTGCTCAGCCTGCTTTCTTATAGAACCCAGGACCACCAGCCCAGGCATGGCTCCACCCACAATGGGCTGGGCCCTCCCCCATCAGTCACCAATTAAGAAAATGTCTTACAGACTTGCCTACAGCCCCATCTTACGGAACATTTTCTTAATTGAGGTTCCCTCCTCTTGGATGACTCTAGCTTGTGTCAAATTGAAATACAACTGTGCAGCAGCACAAATGAGCCCTTGTCAGCTTGACACACAAACACACCACTGTAAAGTCACAACCTTTCCTTTCGTGTTCATTGCCAAGACCACACATTAATACAAACATCACAGTATAAAACATTTTACAAACTTTAAAGTCCCACAGCCTTACAAAGGCAGTTTAAAGTTCAGCTTCTTTTAAAAAAAATCCAGGCTCTTTTAAAATCAAAAGTGTCTAAACTGTGGGCTCCTATAAAATAAAAAAAGTTAATTTCTTACTTCAAGAGGGAAGAGCCAGAGCACAGTCACAATCAGATCAAAGCAAAACCGAGCTCCCATAGTGTAAATAACGCCCAATGTCTGGGATTCATTCATGATCTGGGCTCCTTCAAGGGGGTTGGTCACTTCTCCAGCTCCACCCTCTGCAGCACACACAGCTTATACTCTAAGCTGGAGCAATCTCCACTCCACTGCTGCTGCTGTTTTTGGTGGTCATCCCATGGTACTGGCATCTCCAAACTCCTGGGGTCTCTGCTGCAACTGGGCTGCACTTTCACCAATAGCCTCTCCTAGGCTCTCCTCGTGGTGCCAAGCCTCAACTTCTCTGCCTGACCCCTTCAATTCTGGGGCTCCCACTGCTGCTGAGACTGTAACTTCACCAATGGCCTCACAGTGGCAAGCCTCAGCGGCTCTCCATGACCCCTTCCTGCCTTTAAAACCAGTAGCACCTGGGTGACTCTTACACCACTAAGTACAACCTTGGCCGCCTCTGGAACACAGCTTTGTGTGCCCTCAGGAAACACTTCCCAGATTTCACCTCAGTGATGCTGGTCTCCCCTCCATCACTGCTGTTTTCTCAGCCCTGCCTGACCAGCATCAGCGTCCCAGCAAAGCAAAGGCTCCCCTTCAGTGATGCTGGTCTCTTGTCAATCACAACTGCTCCTCAGCCCAGCTGGCCAGTGCCACAGCATCTTAAATCAAAATAACAAATGGCTCCGATGGTCTTTAAACTTCCCTCAGGAACTTCACAAGCCAGGCTTCCGTCATCTACATTGACTTCAACATTCTTGTCTTCCAAGCTCCTACAGAACAGCTCACCTGAGCTCTCAACACACAATGGCTTTTCTAGTCCAAAGTTCTAAAGTCTTTCCACAATCCTCCCCAAAACACATAGTCAGGTCTGTCACAACAATATGCCACTGTCCTGGTGCCAATTTATGTCCTACTTAGTAACCCTACTGCTTCGGTGAAACACGGAGATTAAAAGCAAACTGGGAAGGGAAGGGTTTGTTTGGCTCACAATTCCACATCACAGACCATCACTGAAGGAAGTCAGGGCAGGAACTCAAACAGAACAGGAACCTGGATCAAGCTGACACAGAGACCATGGAGGATTCTGCTTACTGGATTACTCCCCATGGCTTGCTCAGCCTGCTTTCTTATAGAACCCAGGACCACCAGCCCAGGGGTGGCACCACCCACAATGGGCTGGGCCCTCACCATCAATCACTAATTAAGAAAGTGCCTAACAGGCTTGCCAACAGTCCAGTCTTGTGGAGGCATTTTCTCAATTGAAGTTCCCTCCTCTCAGATGACTCTAGCTTGTGTCAAGGTGACATAAAACTATCTAACATCCAAGCCACATTTCCAGCTTCTGGAGGAATTATGGGAAGGATCTGAGTGTCAAATTTTTCTCTTGAAGTGAGGAGCTTATGAAGAAAGTGAATGGAGATGAAGAGAAACATCTATGGAAAAACAAGTCTTATTGGTGTGGGAAACAGGATGTCAGGGTTGAGTTCGTCTTTGCTGTTCAGATATCAGAGAAGACACCAGGAACCTGAATTCCAATCCTGGCTACTCCTTCCCTGAGCACATTTCAAAGGCCACTCAGGCAAGAAGAACCTTTAAACATGTTACAAAACAAATACATTTTAAAATATCTGTCCCCAGTTCTGGGTTGACTTTTTAAATGTTATCGGATTTTTTTTTTTAATGAAAATGCTATAAAATACAGTCATCTGGTGATTGTACCTCATTTCACTTGACCAGTTATCAGGTCAGTGTGTCTGAGGTGAGCTCCAGTGCCCTTCCTCCACAGCCTCCTCCTCTTTACTTAGTGACCAGTCCAGTGTTGTCGTCCAAGTCATAAGCCCAGGAGTCAACCGTGACTTTCTCTGCCTCTCACATGCCATAGCCAATCCACACTGAAATACCTCTATTTCTTCCTTCTGTACATATCCACATCTGTCTGTGTTGAACTCCCCCTCTGCTGATGCTGTGGTCTGGGCTATTGCCTTTCCTGACATATGGATCATCTCACTAGCTGCCCAGACCTGCGTGTGTCCACCTGTGCCCCCCACTCTCAGCACAGAAGCTAGAGTGACTCTTGGAAAACCTGAACAATGTGGAGACTCTCCTTGGCTCTGCCCCTCGCAGTAGTCCCTCACAACGGTCTGTAAGAAGGGCGTACATAAAAATTAGATAAAACATAGATGTTGAAATATAGATGTCTAGTGACAGCTGAATTCCATATAGATGGTGTATGACAATGTGTGGGGTGGGGTTTGGGACTCCTACTCTGTCCCTCTCTGACCTGTTCACTTGAGACAGGTTCTCATATTGAAGCAGGGGACAAACTAACAGCCAGCAACCCTCAAAGATGCCCATGTCTCTGTCTCCATGAGGCTGGGGACAACAAGCCTGTGTGCACCTGGGCCAGGCTTTCTGTGTGGGTGCTGAGTTCCGAACTCAGGTCTCATGCTAGAAACTCTGCCCACTGATCTCTCTCTCCAGCTCCAAAGTTTTTGATTGGATTAAGCAATGCCTGGGGCATACCATTGGTCGTGTCCATGAGACTGTTTCCAGAGAGGGCTAACTGATATGGAAAACCTCCCCTGAACGTGGGAGACAGCATCCCACAGGCCAAGCAAAAAGGACCACGAGGGAAGAAGGCAGCTGAGCGCCAGCGTTATCTGTTTTCTGCTACCTCCTCTACCAAGATGAGAGCGAATGCACCCCCACCCCTGACACAGGCAGGACATGGTCTCCACACATGTCTTGCCTGCCATGAGGTATGTCTTCTGTATTTTCTGAACTA